ATTGGTAGCTGTGAGGTTTTTACGATGACCGTATTTAAATGTCTATTTGAGGGTTTTTTTAAAAGTTCCGGGGTCTGGACCCTCCCTTTCACAGGCCCCTCTACTCGTTTAAAGCTTTCCTTTCAATCTGTGTCTTCTGGGTACGCGGATGTTTATTTTCAAATTTTCTTTTTGGGCCTTGACCTTCGAGTTTCGATGAGTTAGCTTGATAGCTTTTTCCCCCATAAGAGCGATTTCCATTTCTGGTTTCCTCATTTGAAGATTTCCTTCGGGTACTTTGAGAATACGTTGCCCCTCTCGCTTTTTCCGCTATTCTGTGATTTTGAAACTTTACCGCCAATTCGAAGAGTTCCTGCAATGTGCTTGTGTTTCTAATTTCAAAGTAGTCTTGAACAGCGGGAAACAATCATGGTAATATTATTTCAATAATCTCCGCATCGGGTTTCTTTCCATACAGCATATCCGTTAGCTTGATTTTTCGTAGAATAAAGTCCGTCAATTCTGCTATATCCTGTTGATAGAAACTATATAAGTTCGGCTTCCAGCCGTGCGCGATCTTTCACTATGGGGAAGGCCTTTACTAACGATTTTTTTGAAATTTTCAAATATATATGTCTGGCTTCCAAATTCCCCTAATAAAAATTTACCTATATTTTTCCACCATAGCGCGGCCTGTCCTCTTAGTGCTGATGTGGCGCGATGGCAACTTTTTGTCTTTCAGGAACAGGGTAGAGCTGAAAGTGGTTTTCTAGACCTTCTAGAAATACCGCCACCGAATTTTTTCCGTCGAAATGGACGTTTGGCTTGATTGACGCTCTCAAAGTCTGGACCAGGTATCCAAATCCTTCTAACTGGCTTGTTATTTCTTGGTGTTGTCCAGCGATTTCCATCCAATTTTCGGCCATTTCAGTTCGATAATTGTTCGGGCGCCAATGTAACGTTGCGCGCCTCTAACTTGCACGCAACCAAGGGGTGACTGTGAAAACTGGATAAAACACAGAGTCTTGTGAAGGGTTGAAGTCCCTTTTTATTCAACGTAATAAATTACAATTGCGTGCTCTTGACGCTCACAGACTGCGCCAACTCGGCGGTCAAATAAAAATAATAACCTGAAAAGAAACTAAAGACAAGACTCTAACTACGAGGCTCTCTAAAATAACTAACTCACCGCGTTTTACAATACCGCTGCTAATTCAGCAGACTTGAAGCTCACTTTAACGATTAACACTACTTCCCGCCAAGCACATAGGCCGAAACGCGGGGTTCTTCAATTTCTTGCTAACTACCTCCGTGCTCGTGAAGTAAGAATATCACACACCGAACTTGTTTCCTTTCTATTTAAATCATAATACTTCCGCTGATAATTTGAATCCTTGCGCGTTCTACTAAAATTTACATATTCTGGCATTGGCAGTTCCAGGGGAAAGTAAGGCTTGACAGGAAAGATAGTTTAAACTTAAAATAAATGTTAGTTAAAATAAATATAAACCCTACAAACGGATACAGGTTCTGTCTTAATACTACGATGCCATGTATGGTTATAACTGGATATCAATTTTTCAATCACATCAATATACCTTCGTGTATTCATTTCGGTAAAGTATTTCCACATTTTTGTTTTCAGAGTTCGATTAAATCGTTCTACGACAGAAGCTTTGGTTGTATTATGTGCCGTAAAAAACTGAACGTTTCTCTTTTTCAAAAAAATTTGAAATTGTTTATTGGTAAACTCTTTCCCTGCATCTGTTTGTAATGATTCGGGTGTACGTTCCGAAAATATCTTTTCGAAAGCAGGATTTGGATAGACGTAGATGTTTTATCTTTGAGAGGGGATAGCCCAAGCGTATTTGGAAAGGATATCTATACAGGTCAGCAAATATTTGTATCCGTCATTAAAAGAAGGCCAGGGATTGCATATCCATCCACTAAATCAGATTGAAATTGCTCGTTTAAGCCTCCTACGATGACTCTGTTCCTGGGAAACGTGTGCCTCAAAGGCTTGTGCAAAGTATAAGAATCCTTGGTTTGCAACCATTTCTGGATGTCTTTTGTTTTTACGCGACCTTTTAAAACACGATGCAAAGCAGCAACACCCCCGAAGCTTGCGGGGACCTGAGGATCCCGATAGGTCTGAGCCAGAGCTGTGTTCATTGCAACAGTTGTTATGATCTAAACGTACACTGATATTGATTTATATATGTTTCACTAGAACAGAAAAAAATACCCTAGTTTCACGTATATTAAGATTCTAGAAATAGGTCTAAAAACAAGAGAGAAAAATGAATGTTACTTAACATCTCAAAAGCTGAATAATGAATGATACATGTTTAAGAATAACAACACTATTTATACTCTATAAAAGTCAACAGGTATTTTGAAAATAATTTATGTGAGTAATCATTACAGATTAATTCTTTTAAATAATGTCTGAAAGAATGAGGCCATTGTAAAATAAAAATAACATTTTTTTATTGAACATCATAATTAATTTACAGATATTCATAGTATTCAATACCTAAGACACCATTCGTAGTACAAAATGTGTTTTTTACTTCGTCGAGTACATGGTTTAAACACACAGATTTTAAAAAGTCCTTGGTAATGTAGTGAGCAGTTTTCAGTAACATTAAATAGGGTGTAGGGTTTATATTTATTTTAACTAACATTTATTTTAAGCTTAAACTATCTTTCCTGTCAAGCCTTACTTTCCCCTGGAACTGCCAATGCCAGAATATGTAAATTTTAGTAGAACGCGCAAGGATTCAAATTATCAGCGGAAGTATTATGATTTAAATAGAAAGGAAACAAGTTCGGTGTGTGATATTCTTACTTCACGAGCGCGGAGGTAGTTAGCGAGAAATTGAAGAACCCCGCGTTTCGGCCTATGTGCTTGGCGGGAAGTAGTGTTAATCGTTCAAGTGAGCTTCAAGTCTGCTGAATTAGCAGCGGTAATCGAAAAAAATTTTGAAAGAGAAGGAATGTTACATTACAAAATCAAGAAAAATTTGGAAAACGCTGTGTATGGTCAGCAACCAGTACAAAACCCTATTTCTTCAGATTTAAAGATTGGAGATACGGTACGCATCAGCCGAGAAAAAATGCTCTTTGAGAAAGGATACGAACAAAACTGGACACGAGAAATTTTTACAATCTATAAAATTATTCGACGGATTCCTGTTGTCTATAAACTGAAAGATCTAGCAGGAGAAGTTATACAAGGAACTTTTTACAAACAAGAACTTCAAAAGGTTTCGGACTCTGGTTATTATCCCGTAGAAAAAGTTTTAAAAAAGAGGAAACGTCGCGGGAAAATAGAATATTTTGTGAAATTTCAGGGGTACCCCGAAAGCTTCAATGCTTGGGTGGATGATGTGAGAAGGGTATAAAAGGCCCGTACATTCTGCTTATCTGTCATTTGAACGAAACATGTCTTTCTTTATCACACTAATCAGTGACAGCTCCATGCGCTTTTTTTCCAGACAACAAAATATCACAATTTACCACTCAGCTTCCTACTCCGATGGATTTAAATAGTCAGTGGGAGTTATCTCTTGTGGACTTTATTTACCCTCACATATGGTATAACGTCCGAATAGACAATAATTTATTTGGATTTGATTTGGGTGATGGAAAATTGGAAGGTCGAAGAGTGCCTCCAGGATGTTATGAAACGATACCAGATTTATTAAAAGCCATGAAAATACCTTCCCATAAAAATAAGATTGAATTCAGTTATCATCCTGTCACGAAAAAAGTGACCATTAAGACCGACGAAAACTGCAAAGTCATTCTTCACGAAGGATTAGCTGAGCTTCTAGGGTTCGAGCCGGGTGTTTACAAAGGATTGGAACAAAGTCCTTTTGTAGCCGATCCCAAAGTATCTTTTCCTGTCATGTATGTGTATTGCGATCTCGTAGAGCCTCAAATTGTGGGAGATGTACAAGCTCCGTTGTTAAAAATTGTCACCGTAGAGAAGGAAATGACGGAGACATCATAAACGCTCATTACCCCCGGCCCTTTTACTTGCCAGTTATCCGTCAACATTTTCAGACTATACATATTGACATAAGACTTCACTCTGGAGATTTAGTACCATTCGAAAGAGGCAAAGTATTTCTTGTGTTGCATTTTCGTCTGAGACAAATTCTATAAAAGAAGCCTTCATCTGCAAATTGATTTCATTTGGATTGTGTATGCAAGATTAGAAGCATCAAACATGCGGGTGCCTTATACGTGTTGCACGAAAAAATTTGAAGATTATTATTTAGCTCAAACTGGAAATGGATTACCTTACTATCAAGGAACCATTTTAGAGAAAGGTTATGGTATTGGTGGATTTTTTGCAAAGCTGTTTCGCAGTGCTATGCCTTTTTTGATGAGTGGAGCCAAAACAGGTTGAAAAGAAGCTTTGCGGACTGGAACACAAATTGCAAACGACGTATTGTCGGGAGAAAATTTTAAAGTCTCCCTCAAAACCAGATCTAAAGAAGCTGGCAAAAAAATTAGCGAGGAAAGTAGTTCAGAAAGCAGATGAGATGATGGGTCACGGAAGGTTTAAAAGGAAGCGCAAAACTCCCAAACACTTCATTTAGTCTAAAGCCAGGAAGGTGCAACGACGTGATATTTTTGACTCGTAATGGCTTTTCTGTTAAAAGATTCTCCGGAATGCGCAAAATCCGAATTGGATTTATTTTCGTTACCTCCCACACAAACAGTTATCGAAAAAGGTCAGTGGGTTGAATTTCATCCATTAGCCAATGTATCGGAAGGAAGTCCTGTCGAGTTCAATGTTTCTGGAAGCGGAGACGACTACCTAGACTTATCACAGACACAACTCTACGTCAAAGTGAAAATTTTAAAAAATGATGGCAAGCCAATCACGGCTGAAAGTAAAGTGGGACCTGTCAATCTCTTTTTTACATTCTATGTTTTCTCAAGTGGATATTAGCTTAAATGAAAGACTCGTTTCCACCAGTAATAACACGTATCCTTACAGAGCCATGATAGAAAAATTATTGAATCATGGTTTTGATACGAAAACGTCTCAACTGTCATCAGAATTGTTTTTCAAAGATACAGCAGGACGTATGAACGTTTTTGATATTCAAGACACTCAGCCGAATGAAGGATTCAACCAACGAGCAGAATTGTTTAAACTGAGTGCTTCGGTCGATATGATTGGCCGATTGCACTTGGATATGTTTCATCAGGAAAGACTTTTGCTGAATATGGTGGATATGAAAATTAAACTCATACGCAGCAAACCTGAATTTTGTTTATTGGGCGAAGGTGAATTTAAAGTTTTACTCGAACAAGCTTCATTGTTTGTACGCAAAGTGAGAGTCAGTCCAGGTGTTGTGCTAGGACATGCCAAAAGCCTAGAAAAATCAACAGCCAAATATCCCATTAATAGAGTGCTCTGCAAAGCCTATTCCATTCCAACGGGAAATATGAGTTTTATTCAAGACAATATTTTCATAGGTCAAATGCCTAATCGTATTGTGGTGGCATGTGTCGATAATGATGCCTTTAACGGAAACTATAAAAAGTCTCCTTTTGAATTCAAGCATTATAATATGAACTTTATCGGCGTTTATGTGGACGGGCAACCGGTACCTCATAATCCTCTTCAGCCTAATTTTGACAAAAATCATTTCATACGAGCTTATCAGAATTTATTTATGAATGCAGACGACAGAGGACTTTACCTTTCAAGATCAGAATTTTCAAAAGGATATTCCTTATTTCGCTTCGACCTGTCACCTGACCTTTGTGATGGCTCTCATTTAAATCTAGTTCGACACAGCAACTTAAGATTAGAAATAAAATTTGGGACTCCCTTACAACAAACTGTTTCGTTATTAGTGTACGCTGAATTTGAAAATTTGATAGAAATCAATAAAGCTCGAAATATTCTGTACGATTTTGGAAACTGATGAATTCATCACAGATTCATCAAATCTTATCTCGAGATCCTATTTCTTTGAGATATTATGCGGGTGTTTTTCCTTGTGATAAAATACCTGCGATTCAAAGTTTTCCCTGTGCACTGGTGCTCAATACGGATAAACATGATGAAAAAGGAACTCATTGGCTAGCTGTCTACATTGCAGACAAACAGACTCTGGAATTTTTTGACTCTTATGGACTCCCGCCTGAAGTATATGGAAAAGATATCACATCCTTTGTCAAGAAATATCGTCATGTTTGCTGGAACAAGATTTCGCTTCAGAGTTTAACTTCTAATGTATGTGGACATTATTGTATTTATTTTATTATTAAACGCTGTCAAGGACTCTGTATGGAACTCATTGTATCACCCTTAGATGGGAAGAAGAATCATGATTTCCAAATATTTCAATTTGTCAAAAAAAGATATGGTGTAAACATGATTTTTAAAAAATAAAGTTGTTTTAATTTGTAAAAATGTCTCTTGTGTTTCTTGTTTCTACACTTATTTAAACAAAATGAATAAATGTCTTATGCAAAAGGATTTTCGATAAAGTATAAAAGTCAGTGTTTTCTTAACATGCTGTCATTTCCAAAAATGGAACTGCCCAAGTTCGTACATCCTTCTACTTGTCTTCTGAGCGGACCTACCGGTTCGGGTAAAACGGTTTTTGTGAAGAAATTGATAGATAGATCATAAAATGTTCCATCCCATGCCGACCAATATTATTTATTGCTACGGAAGTTATCAACCTCTTTTTAATTCCATGAAAAACGTAAATTTTGAAGAAGGATTACCATCTAACCTGCAGACTCTTCCAAAATGCTTTAATTATCATAGACGATTTAATGTCTGAATTAGCAAGTGATACTCGCTTAAGCAAACTTTTTACAAAAGGAAGTCATCACCGAAACCTTTCAGTCGTTTTTATAACACAAAATCTTTTTCACCAAGGCAAGGAGATGAGAAATATTCATTTAAATTCCCATTACCTTGTCCTATACAAAAATCCTAGAGATAAAAGTCAAATTATGCATTTAGCTAGACAAATGTTCCCCGGAAAAGTAAAGGCCTTTCAAGAAATTTTTCAGGATGCTACTTCAACTCCATTTAGCTACTTGTTGATTGATTTACGACCTGAAACAAGTGAAACGCTTCGCCTTCGTACAGGCATCTTTCCTGGGGATAAATACTATGTCTACCAGCCCCGATAGTTCATTTCAGTTTGAGACGTCGAATGGCTAACATGTCTTCTCCCATCGTGATCGATTTCGAAGGTTTTCAGTGGATGCCTCATTGTTACATTGTTAAAGAATTAGCTTTTTACTCCGTGCATGAAGGATATCACAGTTGCTGGTCATTTTTACCTCCTCAGCCTTGGAAAACATTATCACGATCTCAGCAAAAGTGTTTGCTGCTGGGTCACAAGAAATCGTCATCATGTGAATTGGAATGTGAGGGTGTTTTACCTTATACTCATCTTCGTATTATTTTGCAATATTTGTCATCTATTTATTCTGTCATATACGTGAAAGGATTAGAAAAGAAATTATTTTTAGAAAATTTATTAGGTAGAGACATCATAAATCTAGACTGTCCTAAGATAGAGAATTTAAAAAAGAAAAGTTCTTTAACATGTTCGATTCATGCAAAAGGATTTAATTGCTGTGCTTTAAACAAAGCGGCTGCATTTGCTACCTATATAAAAGAAAGTGTGCAAGAAAAAGAGCTCATTTGTCATCAGCAATGTCTCATCTGAAGGATGTGGATTATCTAAAACTATTAGGAAAAAGTCGAATAAAAAGCAGCTGTACTGAAAAAGTGTCCGAATCATCTCATCAAATCAGTTTGTGAGTGTGTTTTAAATCTTCTAAAAGGAAACGTACCCATCACCAAACGGGTCAAAAATCGACTCGCCCCTTTTAAAAGAACTTTAAGAAAACTAGCGGACAAAAAAAGTACCTCTTTTTAAGAAAAGACGTCTTTTGGTTCAAAAAGGTGACGGTTTCCTATCTTTCCTGATTCCTGCAGCAGTCAGTGTCTTATCCTCCCTTATCCATGGAACACAGTAAGAAATTTGCGCTGGTACCCCTGGATCGTATGCAGCAATTTGAAGATGAACATTTGAGTGATTTAGATACCCAAATTCAAAACATCTTAAAAAAGAAAATGGACGATGAAGAAAAGTCTAAATTGTACATCCAGGTTCTGCAAAAGTATGTTACATTTCCTCATGTGAACACTTCCGAAGAACAACCGCCTGAACAACGTTTCTGAGAAAGATATAGAAAAAGGAAATTATGCAAACAGTTCCTGTGAAACAGAGAAGAACGGCACAGAAAATAATAGATTTTCTTAAAGAGCATCAGATTTCATGGACACAGAATAAAGAACTCATTCTGGATGGTCATGAGTTTTCTGGCTCTGACATTGTTCAGTTGATAAACTTTCTGTTGAGAAATAGAACTCAAAAACCTTTTGCCTTTGAACAGTTTAAAAATGTACTGAATGTTAACAACTTTCCTCAAGACTTTGTGAAAAACAAACATTTAATGAATGTAAAAACTATGTATGCTAGACCTAAAAGAAAATCGCATCTTCCAAACTATGGCTGAAATTGTAATGATACGTGAATAAATGTAATGGCTGATCATTGGTGTTTGTATTTCTTTCTAATTAAGTTAACATAATTTTTGAAAATAAAATATGACAATTATTTTCTAGGAAAAACTTACCTTTCATGAAATCCTTTCAAATAAGAAAAACACAATTTTATCATTCAAACTTCTGTTTATTTTTTTTTTTTTTTTTTTTCTAAATAAGTTTTCTTTTATACACATACAAATGCATGATTCTGCACACACATATATATATATATTTACATACAAAATTTCATTTTCAGATAAGGTTCTAACATAAACATAAAAAGTTCTTCTTCAATATACCATACGGCAATGTGCTCAAGTCTTTTTGAATTACCCGTTTGTCTAATACAATTCTGTACATTTTTGTCTCGGGTTTATTCATCACCTTTCTTCTCTTCGCTTCTCGGGTGATTTTGGAGGGGTTGTGGAGAGAGATGATCTCACTTCGGTCGAGGCTGCAGACCAACCGTTTCATACTTTCAAAATTCAGCAACTGAGAATTCCGGAAGTTCAAGGAAAATCCTCGGACTTTGCAGCAGGTTTTCCCAGTGGCCGTCTGGTATGCATAGTTTTTCGGTCCTCCTGAAAAAATAACAAGATCATGAGAAAAAGAGATAATAATAAAAAAAATGCATTAAACATTTTTGGTACACATTAAATAAAGAACTTTTTAAAGGTCCTTACCAGAGACGAAGGTTTTGATGACATCACCCTCCAGTTCATCCGTAAACTCTCCAAGAAAATTTCCTAAGGGGGATCATTGCGGTTCCATTCGAGGCATAGATGATGGAGTCTGTGTCGTGGATACAGGACATCTCTACCCAATTTCTCCATTTCACTATACAGCTTGAGACGAGCCCAAGCTGTTGTGAACGCAGCTAGGAAAATGTTGGTAGAGGCATCCTGCGGCACAAACTCTTTCGCAGATTCCCAGGAAATGGCAGCCACCTCAGGCGTGGGAAGAAAGACATCCTTGATCTGAAAATAAAAGAAGAGTCATGAGATAACAGTTCAAAATAGTTATGAGTTAACAGCTCAAAATACATTGAGTTTACAGATGAATAAAATCGGTAAGGAAACTTACTGTTTTAGTAGGATCCGCCAACATCTTATTAAATTCTGGCACCGTATGCACATAAGTAAGCTGTCCTTTGTTGACGTTCATACCCCATCTGAAAAAAAAAATCCAACATAAATCACAAAGAATTAAAAATGTTTACAAAAAATTTAAGTCCAAAAGAAATCATCTTACCTGCCCCAGAAACTGTTCAGGGCCAACTTGGCGACTTGTCGACGCCCAGGGTTTTTCGATATTTTTTCGGCCTCCAACTTGACACCCTCTCTTTCTTCATATTGGCGAATGTACTTCAGTCTGGCTAGTTCCGTCACACACTCCGAAGGCCATCCGCTACTTTCCTGCTTGATCTTCAGAAACAGATCAATGTATGATCTGAACAGAGAAGTAGACGATGCCTGGAAATGGTACACTTCGTAAATCTAGAAAATAAAAAATTTTTAAAAGTAACCTCTGAAACTAAATAAAGATTAAAATAATCTTTGAGTACTTACATGTGTGACGCGGTAGCCTTTCTTTTTCGCCAGTTTGACTTCCTCCGTTACCCACGTTCCGACAAGAGCTCGCTCGTCGTCTGTGTGGGTACACGGAGTCTGCAGTTGAAGAAGGGCGCAAGTCCGACACAGGGGGAACATCAGCTTCTTCCGGCACCGATAGGGCAAGTACCGGAAGATACAGATTCCGTGGAGGAATCACTCGGCATTGGATAATTCCAAAATAATCTTCCACATCTCTAAAGCTTTCCGTGATGATTGTTGGATGTCCCACAGGGTAGACGCAATACTTGTTCACCTGTGAATGAAAAAACAAAAAAGTCAGAAAAAACATCATAAAAATATACAGAAAATTTAGAAAAGTTTAAGTAAACATTTTTGAAATAATAAAAAGTACGAACCCATGGATAGAGTGAGGTAAAATCCACATATTTTGCGTCTCCCTCGTGGAACAATTTGAGGGCATTGGTCCTTCCTCCAAAAAAAACGACTCGCGAGGATTGAGTCGGTCCCTCAGATGGTGTTGATCCAGGAAAGCTTGGAGATCTGGATTTTCCTCCTTCTCTCTTTGAAATTCATGCTCCCACATTTCTATGACGTGGAAACCCTGGGTGCGAAGCTTTCTTGTCGGTCTCTTCTGTCTTTTCTCTTAACGTTGCCATGGAAACCCCTTTCAGTGGATGTAATGATATCACCATCGTAACACGAACTACATCCGTGAAAAAAAACAGCCCTAAAATAATACAAATATAAATAGTGGTTCCACATGTAAATTAAACATTAAAAGTGTAAAATCATTAAAAAGAATCCTATAGAAAATGAATGGTTATATTTTCTTACCTGAAACTGATAGACGGTTTGTGTTTCTTGGCAGAAACCGTCTACGGAAATTCCGGCGATTTTGTGCTCTCCGGAACCGTTCAGAGCATGTTGAATTTTTAGTCCTTCCGAATAAGCCACAAAATCCAACCACCGGATAGAATCAGGGCTGTAATGGGTCAAATTGATGTAGCCGTGTGTAGGCACCATGGCAATCGTGTCCGGCTGAATGTGGCCACTCCGATACGTTGCCATACAGGCTGACGCAATGGTCACGTATCTGAAAAGACAAAAATAAGAACGATTTAATGAACTGTAAATATGATTATTATTGTATAAGAAAATGAGAAAATGACTTACTGGAATGGATCCACACCCGCCACATCCAAAAACTGGGTTCGAAACTCCAGGCAACAGCGACGAAGAATGTCCACGTCCGATCTAAAAAAAATGAAAATGTTAAAAAATACGAAACATAAAAATATAAAATAAAAGCAAGAAAAAGGAAAAAATATACCTGCAATAGGCCAGCATCTCATCTTGAAAGTTAAACACGTCCCCCTTGTGTGCTTCATGCCAGGACAGAAATGCTTGTCGGGCTGAAGTGCTCATGGTATCCGGGCTGTAGTACCGGGCTTCAGGCAGCGGTCCGACATAACTTTTGGTTTTCTCGCGAGTTGAAAAGATGAGGGGAAGTATCCTTTCTTTAATTCGGTGAGACCGAAGCATCCCGGTAGTTTGGCCAACGCCATCGGTAGAAAAGTTTAACGAGTCTATGACCCGAATGTTCAGACTACTGGGGTGTCTTACACTCATGATCATAGACCCGTTAGGGATCACCTCCGGCGCTGTACCTTGCTCCAGGAGCCAGGCCATCACGAACTGCCCCATCGAACCTGTAAGTAAAAAAAAATATCATGAATAATATTGAAAAGCATAGTCGTAATTAAAGCATGCAAACTATGGTATTTTTAACTTACCCTTTCATGTTGTGTGCCACGGCGGTGAAGCCCTTGTGTTGTGGGGTGAACAGCCAGGCGCAGAAATCTTGGCATGCTTCGTAACCCGGAAAACACTTTTCTGTGCCGTCGGCATACTGAGCCACCGCGAAATTTACGAGATGCTCCCCCGAAGACTGGTCCGTTTCAAAGTCAAAAAAGATGAACTTGTCATCAGACTTCTTCGGAGCAACACGTCGCAAATAACAACGGTGCTCAGCAGCCACGACAAACTGGCCGCAAGACGGACATTTGGTGGTACCGCACTTATGCAGATCTTTAGGGCACTTACGGCGTTCAATCACTTGGCAGCAGTCCCTGCACTGGTATACCTGTAACGACAATAATTTTTTTAACATAACAATTTTGAGAAAATTATATGATAAATAACTTTGATCATTAAGATATATTTTCAAAACACTTACCCTATCGCAAAGTGAAAACTCTTGGTTTCCAGTGAGGGCTTTGTGTGCTGCATAACAGGCATCGGATCGGCAGAGACGGTCACAGTCAGGGCATCGTTGGGGCTGGCCTGGAAAGCAGTCGGTCCTCAAGGCATATGGGACACGCATTGGCACATCTATGACTTTCAGGCATTTGGTAGGCCTTTTCACAGGCTGTGCAATAATGGTTGCTGCCGAAAAATCCTTTCAGAGATTTGATGACGTCGTAATGTCCATCGTGAAGCCACAAATTGATCCGCTGAGGCCTCTCTTTCCTTTATAGACCACCTAAAACATAGACAAAACATTTTCTCTTAAAAGTAATCTTGAACTTTATAAATCCATTTTTAACATCTAAAAATTACCTGCACATTTAATTTTTCCAAGTTTAATTATACATGGAAATGAATTGCATGCATAAAATACAAATTTAACCGAAAATAAAAAATTTTACAAGTTATATTTTAACATCTAAACGAACTGCAGAAAGTAAGTTTAAAATTTTGTCAAAAATAAAACCTTTTTCCAAGTTATATTTTTAACGTCTAAATAAATTGCATGCATAAAATAAAAAAATAATTTGAAAAGTAATCTAAAAATAAAAATTCACCATGCATGTAAATTTACAAGTTATACATGGAAACGAAATGCATGCATAAAATACAAATTTAATAAATATAAAATTATTTTACGAGATATATTTTTAACATGTAAATGAATTGCATAAAATAAGTTTAAAATTTTTATCAAAAATAAAACATTTTTACAAGTTATATTTTTAAGGTGGAAATGAAAAAGTCACCATGCAGAAACTTTAAAAATAATTCAAAAATCGAACAATTTAGAAATCAATTTTTAGCCGTTATATTTTTAACATGGAAAAACAATATGCATGAACAAATATTAATCTTAAAATTTAAAGTAAAATAAATTTTCAGCCTGCATTCAGTTTTGTCAAGCTATATTTTTCAACGCATAAACAAAATGAAAGTATCACCAATAAATACATAAACTTTAATACAAAAACTGTTTAAGATTAATTTTAAAAATCATACCAAAATAAATTTTTTTCATTCACAATTTGACAAATAAACAAAATGGAACTAAAATCAAATTACGATTTTAAAATAAATAAATATGTAGAAAAAATTCAGGTAATTTCAAAGCTAATATTTACAAGCAGAAATATCTTGAGACAAAAATTGACTTACCCTATTCAAATTTTCCGAAGAGAACACTGCAATTTGTGTGTCCAAGTGCTCTTCAAATATGGCAATTTCTACAAAAGTGCAAGGGCCTAAAGATACATTCGCATCCAAATGAAGTTCCCTTGCGATTACGCCGATCTCTCAATGCATTAATGGCCCTCGTGTCCTTGTTCAACTGCGCCAAGGCATAAACAATAGCTTTGGCACAGCACAGTCCTTCCTCGTCGTATGGAATAGACAGAAATGGACTGTTTCCTTAATCTGTCCATGGAGATGTTGACTACTTTCCTATTTCCGTCCGGCACCCACAGGGCGTTTGATGGTGATCACATCCACTGCAAATCCCGTATCCAGTTCAATTTTGTCTTTAGACTGCAACACTTTCATCACGGCAGCCAGAATCTTTTCAACTGTTAAAGTCGAAACTGCCATCAGGGACGTGGAAGTACTAATCGGCTTATCCAACCCATCTGCTTGGATACAGAATCGGATGAGGTCTGATGGGCCCAGATTTGCTGTTGTCCGGCGAATGAGTTGCTCTCAAACAACTTCCCGGACGGTGTCAGGAATTCGGACCATCGGGATGCCTTGCACGTTCTGAGGCAGCCGTTCGATATCTATACTGGCTCGCAAGGTAATCTCCTCGGCCTGATATTTATGGTTTCCGTCGACGAGACTTTTCTGTGAGCACAATCGCCTCATCGAATCTGGAAAAAAATAAAAATAAGTTTTCAGTAATAATCAAACATTTTCAAAATACATTATTTTAATAAATCATGCAAAAAAGAAAAATATATACCGAACGTTCATCGGAAGCCAGCCATATACACAGGGCCACGAGCTGATGAGGAAGAAGTCTAAAAATAAATACATTAATTTTAGTACTAAGAAAAAATATTCTAGCAGAATCTAAAAATGCTGAAATACTAAAATAAAGATATACTTAAATATTTACCTCAAATCCGGAACCCACTTGATAATACAAGGGTAGATCCATAGGATTTTCCAGAAAAATCTGATCCACTTCATCGATTAACTATCAAAATAAAACATAAAATAAAATACGTTCAAATGGTAAAATACATTCAAATAGTAATAAAATACGTTAAATAAAAAAGTGCGTTTAAAAATACGTGTAAAAACTTACATCGTCATCTGAGTCCCGAAAAGGAAAGTCAGGATCTTCAAACAGGACCTGGCAATTAAAAATTTAAATAAATAAAACATTCAAAAAAAATAAATAAAAATTCGTGTTTAAAAATAGTAATCTAGACATTAAGTACAAGCGAAAAAATACTTACATTAGATGCAGAATAAGTTCGTTTAGCAGACATCGTGTACAAGAAAACGAAATGGCGCAGGAAAATGACAGAGTCAAAATGACGTTCACTCAGCAAGAATCAGAGTGGAAATGATGATGAAATCGTGAAAGCGAGCGAATTTATAGGCGATGTATAAGAAACAAACACGCTGATTGGCTGAAAAATTGGCTGAAATAATATAGATAGTTGTTAGCGAATGCTGATTGGTTGTTAAGATTGTATACGTTCGCCACGGCGGATGTATGTAGAAAGCGTGAAGCGGTTTCGACAGGCTGCAACGTGAAAGAGATGACGTTTGCCTGTTTCCCCCCCCAGCCTATTGACGTCATGGTGATTTTCGCTCCAAACGGAAAAATAACAGGTTTGATAACATGAAGGGCTTAGCTGAGCGGTAAAGCGCTAGACTCCCATCCCAGAGATAGCGAGTTCGAATCTCAGCCGTGGAGTTACTTTTAAAATTCAGGGAAAATAATATTAAATTCATTAAAAAGTATTAAAAATATAATGTAATCAATTAAAACTAATTAAAAATAATGACGGATTAAATAATTAAAAAAGGATGATTCACAATTAAATAACGAAACATAATTAAAAATAATGAATAAAAATGATTAAACACTTAAAATAATAAATTAAAACGTATATCACAAAGAATAAAAACGAAACTTTGATGATGTCATTCCATGACGTGATACAAGATGGCGCTGGTGTCGTCACTTCCGGAGAAATCCAAGATGTCGGAGGCCACGCTTTTCTGTGACGGCACTTCCGGTTGTCACGTGATCCAAGATGGCGGAGGCGGCACATCAAAGGAACGCCCCCATTGCGACATCTATTGTTCTCTTACGTCATCTATTGTTATATTACGTCATGGCGGCATCCTTTGACCGCACGGTTACCTCCGGTTACTACTAGTAGCCTAAAAAGGCCAACGCGTGCTAGCCAGAATATCTGGTATCTCTCTCACCAAGACAGTAGAAGTTCGCGGTTAAATACCGCGCTTCCTCATTAGCATTCAGACGTGATTCTGAAACTACGTTCTTTCCGGAAGTGGTAAGTTGAAATTAAGAAGCGATAGGAAAGGAAGTTTAACTCAAAATTTAACTGTTAATAAAATTAATATAATCCTTACAAGTTAAAATAGTTAAAAAACAATTTTTACAATTAAAATTACAAATTCTACACAAAAACCAGCAATTCGGCCATCAGGCAAAAAGGCAGACTTTTCGCTGCACGAGCTGAAAGTTTACTTTTGGTCCCACTCGGCAAAAAGACATTAAAGGTGCAGAAACTACCTTAATTCACTTACTGAGTTTCAAATGTGAACAAATGGCGGTTCGTTAGGTTTAACTCGCCACTTAAAATTTTAAATTGTTGATAATTCTACAACTATTGCCTGCAAATTAACTAAAGGCATAAAAACCTCAATCGGAACATAAACCTACATAATTCAATCAATTTTAAAGCAAAAAATGCACAGTTTACCAACATACAAAAATAAAAAACTAAGCTCACAGAGCCAGGTAACAGATTGGATATATATATATAATATTGGTGCAGCCGATTACAACGAAAAAGGGAGGTGAACAACTACATGTTATATGAGTCCCATATACAAAATTTCAATGTTCTGCAACTACTCATTCTTGAGTTATGCGAGATAAATACATACATACGTACGAACGGATGCCAAGAAAAAATCTCCTTTGAATCCCTTTTACCATTTTATAATCATTTTTTGGCAAAAATAGCCCTTTATTCTGTTTGCGTGTACAGATGTCGCACAAAAGCATCGTTTAAATGGTTTCTAATGGAGCGGCTGAAATGGATATTTTCGTTGAAATACGATACCCAAAATTTTTCGCAATCACAATACTGGCTTTACTTCGTACAAGGAAGTAAAAACTAAATAATGACGAATCTGTATGTAAATATACGTGCTGCTCGCATTGTGGAAAAACGACGGTACCCAGCCACCGAATTTTTCATACGCGTAACACTGTTGCCAGAAACTTTTCAACTAAAGTAGCAAAAGATCGCAAATGACGTCAGAAATTACGTGATTTTTTGACGTCATATTTGCGTATGCTCAAAGGACTTCAGACGTCATCACAAATTTACCGTCCATTGGTTTCGTAAGTTATAGACTGTATTCAATTCTTAGTCGTTTTTATTACGTATCTTAGCTTTAACGAAAATTTTAAAACTAGTATATTGCTCGTTTTCAATTGTTTAAATATCCATTTCTTTTTTTAATTAATTCTCATTTAATTTAGTTTCAATTTTAAAATTAATTTGCAGATATCCATTCTTACGAGATTCCTCACGTTTAGACTGCTAGCTAAATTTTTTGAGTTGGCAGCTAATTTTTTTAATTCATTGTTTTTTTGCTTAATTGTGAACATTTTAATTGAGGAATGCTTTTCAGCGAGTTTTCCGTTTTTGTTCTGGATCTGTTTCAGATTCTGATTACTTAACAAAGCCTTCTTCTTTCACTGTTAAATTTACTTTTGTTGTTAATTAGAAAAATGCCGTTGCTTTGATTTTCAAGTCATTTCCATCGCTTAGTTCTTAACAATATTATAATCAGGAGTATGAATTTAATTTATTTCTCTGTTTGGGTACCCAATATATGGCGCGCAAGCTGCGAGTTCTTTGGTTCAGTTCATTATCACCATAGAACTGGGAGGGGGGATGACTTAAAAACAAAATGCACGGGGGACGAGGGGGGGGTGAGAGGTCCAGAAGCATTTTTTTTCCCTTTGTTTTTGCTTTTTTCACTTCCTTTACGCTTTCTCGTTATACCGGCATCAGGCTGTGCAGCCTTGAAAGGGAAAGCCCACATCTTAATAAGATTGCCAGATGTCAACTTCTATTTAAGCCTAAATAAACTATTTTTTAATATAAATTATATTTAATTCATAAACTATTTTAAAATAAAATCATTTTACAATGTATTAAAAAATCTTTCTCAAGTAGCAAAAAGTAGCATAAGAAAACGATGGATGTCGCAAAAATTTCGCAAATCGCAAATATTAAAATTTTAGTAGCGCAAGTTTGTCAAAAGTCGCAAATTTGCGCAAAATCGCACGATCTCGCACCACTGACACGTAATCCTCCATCTGAGCATAGGAATTTGAAAGCTCGAAATTTTAAGTTCCGAATTTGTTTTTGATTCATTTCATATTTGTATAAATATAAGAATTTTTTATTTAGCAGACTCAATGATTTGAAAGGAGTGGCAACACAGTTCGGAAGAAAAAAAAAATTTAATCTAAAGAGGATCAGACTGTTGCCATTCGGTAATGTAGTCCAAATGACTCAAAAAAAGTAGAATACTTATTACCTCCACACACACCAGTGCCGTTGCCATTCAGTAAAGCGTAAAATATTTTAACTTTCAAATTTAATCTTTTTGTTACTGAGTAACAAAACGAGTAATTTAAAAGCAATAAACGCAACTCTTATGATTATTTTTCTACTTATTAATTTGATCGATTCAAATTAAAATGCATTTAAATCATGAGATATCTAATTACGAGTAGAAATATAAAATAATTTTGTGAAAGGGAACTACCTTCACTCATTTAAAACCATTACATATTTTTTCCGTTTCCATTATATATTTTTTCATAGCTCTTTTAGTCAGCTGGCGGCTCCAGCGGCTAGTTTTCAAAGAAATAATAAAGCGATTATAAAAAATGTATGTTAACAGCTAACAGTCTATCATGAATTGCATAAACATGCTGTTTTTAAATATTGTGCTCTTGAAGTTTATGGGGCGTACGGACAAAGAAAACGATGTTTGATAACACAGCTAATAAGAGCAGAAAAAAAAAGTGTTAGCGAGACTGAGTCTAAGAACAGACTGGTAATTTGCGATGCTCATCGAGAGCATAAACTATCCTAGCGAATCCTCTGGTGCGAGGTTAAAATCTAAATTCTTTCAATTTTTCTATTTATTTTTTTTTTCTATTTATTTTTTTTTTAAGAAAGAAATTCAATGATTTTTTGCTTACCCATAAATGCATTTTCTCATTATGAACCACTCTGATAAAGCAGTTCGTAATTTTAATACAATTTCTATTTTTCTGACCTGCTTGATGACTTCTTTATGACTGCGAACATATTAACAAATCTGCTGGAACACGCTTTCTTTTCCAGCTAAAAATAAATAAATAAATAAAGCTTCCTACGTTTTTCAACAAAAGGTACAGTCTGATTACAAGATTACAACCCAAAACTGTTCGAAGACAAACCCGAAAATAAAATATTTTATTGATAAGCACATATTTCTAGATATCTACATTCTCCAAATTCGATATAACGATACGTCCAATCAATGGCGTTTCAATCTCTGCAAGTTTCCAAGTCCGATGGTTTGAAACTTTAACTGTGTTCGCAGGCTGTCTATAACAGGCTGTTCTAGAAGGCTGAAATATGGGCCAAGAGTTATATGAGGCGCTATACCTTGGACAATATCGATCTTATTGATCAAGACTTCCTCTTTTCGCCCCTTGTCAACAGCGCGCCAGTAAAGTCCTGAGGGACGTACGGCCGAAAACACCTTCCATGGATTAAGGGGAGAGAGGACAAAATGCAATTCTCGGCTCTGCCTCGAAATTTTCTCGCCTAATGCATCCGTTCGGTTTTCTTTCTATCCAAAAACAGATACGTACGACATACATTTGGTATTTGAACAGCACATAATAAACTGAACGAAAGAAATTTTTTTCTTAAACCATTTAGGGAATTTGTTTTCAAAATTTAAGTTTCAGCAACGATGAAGGACCAAAGATTATTTATTTCGGAACGCTGGTGGTTTAGAACCAATTACAGCAAAATCCTTTGTAACCAACAATATCAAAATAACGACACTTTATGAAGGCCTAAACTTAAATCCGAAATTTAGGCCTATGAAATAAAAAGAAATATGTGATGGACTAACCTGAAGACTTAAAAGTGGGAAACCTTTCTATTGCGTTTTTGAAATCCAATGTAACAAGCCTTATTTAGTGATGTAACTAGAGGAGGGCAAAGAGGGCGGTCCGCCCCGGGCAGCACATTTTTAGGTTCAGCATTTC